GGCCTATCAGGCCAGAGGCCTACCTTGCCCACTGGGAGTGAGGGCTCACTCTACCAGGGGCATGGCTGCATCAGCAGCCCTGGCGAACGGGGCCTCTCTAGCAGGTATCTGTAGAGCTGCAAGTTGGGCTACGCCTAATACATTTGCTAGATTTTATAATCTGCGAATGGAACCAGTATCTTCTAGAGTCCTGATCGTCAGTTCTTCGACTCAGGAGACTGGCAGGGTGTAGAGCTTGCTACCAGCGCCGCTCCCCCCTTGGGTTGTTATGCGCTTATTCATGAACTCTGGACTACCCTTCCATCACATAAACACTTTACTTAGTGAAGTCCGGCAGAGGAACTTGCTATTAGAACTCATTATGTGGTAGGTTCCCTTGAGTGAACTCTTGTATTGGGTTAGCTCCACATGTAGCAGCTCCTTTTGAGGCCCCATGTGTGTATTCTCCACTGTATTGTCCTTGAGGCTCAGTGTTCCCCTAGACAGACATTCTGTCGATAGGTTCTGGGTTTTGGTAGATCTCCCCTGACGTGGAGCCCACCTCAGTACCTTCCCTATGTGGTACTTCCTCTGTAAGTCCATAGGTGGATCTTCACATGTTACCTCCCCATCGGGTAGGATGTGATCTCCTTAGTGCCTTTTTCCTCTGGGGGAAATAGTCACTGTCCCAACATTACTACCAAGACTTTTCAGCTGTTTATTATGGTGAGTATTATTATGGGAAAAGGCTCCGGCTGAGGGGACCTCAGCCTCTATGGTGACTCTCCCGGATGTTGGAGAGTGAGGTCTTAAGTCTTGGGCATTGGAAGGTTGCGAGGAGGAGAGGTGCATTTGGTTGTGACACGCTGGCTTGTCAACATCTGTGCCTCCGTGGACTCGTGATGCAGTTCGGCAGTTGTGGCGTTTAGTATAGGGAACCATAGTGTTGTACACTTGACACAACGTCGAAATGAATGACAGAAAGGGAACGTCTCGGTTACGTATGGTAACCCTCGTTCCCTGATGGAGGGAACGGAGATGTTGTGTCCTTCATGCCACAACTCCGAATTGCCTCTGAGTGGGTTGAGACGTTTCTCGACTCCTCAGAACAGAACGAGTGAGCAGATGCTATGCTGGCCTATTTATACCCGGATGTCCGGGGCGTGGCCAGCCATGCAAATTCTGCACAGCCAATTTCATTGGCCTTTTCTCAAAGATGTCAGAGGTGTTTGGGCTCCCAAGAGCGACCCCTAGTGTCGTACACTCGACACAACGTCTCCGTTCCCTCCATCAGGGAACGAGGGTTACCATACGTAACCGAGACGTTTCACCTGCTGGATGTTAAAGACACACGTCTAGTCATATATAATCTAATTAAGCCAGTAGAGCAGGGATTCTCAAACTTTTAAGTATTATATTTTGTGATTTCATTCATTTTTAATAAGCATTCTATTTTGATTTTGTTTTATTTTAAAATAATTCATTTCAATTCTACATATTTATGATTTACTTAATTTTTAGTATTTCGTTATTCATTTAAAAAGACTTTTATAAATTATACATTTTTGATTGTGATTATTTATTTATTATTTTACATTTTAGTTTTAGTTCATTTTTAGTATCTTATAATTGTTTGTATAATTGTATTTTAAAATGATTAATTTTAATTTTACACATATATGATTTAATTATTTTTAGTAAGTGTTATATTTTGATCGTTTTTATTTTAGAATTATTTATTTAAATTTAAAATTTTTATGATTTCCCGATTTTTGATTTATTTTTTATAGTTTTTACGTTTATTTTATTTTACCGTTTGGTTCAATTGTAGTATTTTATTTTGATAGTTTTCAATTCTACTTTTTATAATTTTATTAAGTTTTTACTATTTTTTTATTCTGAGTTCATTATGATTTAATTTGTAGTATTTTATTTTGATAGTTTTTGTGTTAAAGGTATTTAATTTTATTTTTTACATTTTATGATTTAATTAACTTTTTAGTAAGTGTTTTAGTATTTATTTTTATTTTACATTTTTAGGATATAATAAATGTTTACTAAGTGTTTTATTTATATAATTTAAATTTTAAAACGATTCATTTAAATTCTGATGAATTCTTTTTATGATTTAATTTAAATTTTTATTGTTATTAAAAATTGTCTTTTGAATATTTAGTAAGTGTTTTATTAATATTTATTGAATTTCAATTTACATTTTTATTAATTGTTAGCTTTTCTCATAAACCCCCCTCACTGTTCAAGGGAACTTCAGTTTCACCGAAAACCAGAATTCAGCACAAAGTTCAAATTAGCCTTTTCAGTTCTTAGAACACATGAAAGCTGAATATGAGAAATGTCTGTTTCAGACGTCAGCTATCACATCGCAGTGAAAACGGGTAACGTCAGTGGAGGAAGTTCAGACTCTAAAGTGTTTGTGAAGTTCTACGGTGAGAAGGGAGACACCAGCAGAATGATGCTCGTGGTCTCAGACAACAACCTGCGCAATTACTTCGAGGCGGGCCGGGTGGATGTTTTCACCGTCGACACCGCTGACATCGGCCAAGTATGTGCGCTTTCCTAACAGTACTGTATTATATTTAACAGACACATATTAAACCACCTCATAAACTCATGAAGATGTTTTTCTCAAATCTAGATCAACCGGCTCCTGATAGGTCACTCTAATGAAGGGATGCGTGCTGGCTGGTTTCTGGACAGCGTTCAGATCATGGTGCCAAATCACGGCAAACACTACATGTTCCCCAGTCACCGCTGGCTGTGCAGAGACGAGGCTGATGGGAAGACGGAGGTGGAGATTTACCCCAGTGAAATACTGGACGTTGAACAATGTAAACGCTCATGCTGTTATTATATAGCAGATCCCTGCTGAAAACACACTGCAAACAAATTTTTGCCTTGTTTGCCTTGCCTTGGTTCCAGTATATTCTTAAATCAAGATGCATTTACTTGAGAAGCAAAATGACTTAAGATATTAAGTTTTGGGTAACACTTTGTTCCATCATTACTGAATAACTACACAAGAACACACGAGTAATGCAATATTAGCACTCTAGTAACTACTAGTATCTAACAAGAAATCTGATTGATGAATTAGTAAGTAATAGTGCTTATTCGAATGTGGTATTTCACTATTAGCTAATCAGTAACTACTATTTTTTCATACCTCCAAGAACTAATAAGAACTACTGTATACAGGTTCATAATTAATGTGAATAATACATAATGTATAATTAATTCTAAAGTGAAGATCATGATAACACCCTAGTAATGACTGATATCATTGTAAGCTTTTGAGGGCTCTGTAAAGTATTGGATAGTAATTATTTAGGTGTTACTACATCCTTCTAACGGATGTGATGTGATAATGTGATAACTCCCTAGTAATTACTGAAGTCATTGTAAACTTGTGAGGTTTTTGTAAGATTCTGGTTAGTAATTAATTTTGCTAGATTTGGTAAACCTAAATAATTACTATCCAAAACCTTACATGTATCTCAAAAGCTTTTCATTTTAGAATACTGATCCAAGTAATTAGTAGTTCCTTTAGAAGGATTTGGTAATACTTGAGTCATTACTAGTGGGTTACCATGATCTTTACTCTAAAATTAATTATGCATAATTCATATTAATTATGAACCTGTATACAGTAGTTCTTAGGAGTTCTCTATGATATATATATATAGTAGTTATTGATTAGCTAATAGTGAACTACCAGTTTCAATGAGCTCTATTACTTACTAAATTGTTAATCATATTTTCTTGTTAGGTAGTAGTAGTTACTACAATATTAATAGTGCATTAGTCATTTGTTCCTGTGTAGTTATTCACTAACGACGGAACAGTATTCTAAAGTGTTGCCAAGTTTTGTTCTATTAAAAATGTATCAAATTTATGCTCAAAACAAGAACAGATATCTGCCAATGGAGTCAGAAAAATAATCTTATCGGATATTTTTCTTCTTTTAACCACAGAAGAAACCACAAAGCAACATTCTAAAACCTCTCAAAGCAAATTAAATTTATTGTTCTGATCCCAATAGCAGATACTTCTTTTTTTCTTGTTTTAAGCATAAATTCTATAAATTTTTCAGAAAACAAGACTTAAGGCCAGATTTACTAACAGCTTGCGCCAGCGCAAACCGTCTTTTGACGGCGCTGTTTTGGAATTGCCTTGTTTAGTAAATCTGGCCCTTAATATGCTTTTGTGTGTCTTAAATCAAGTGTCTTGATTTAAAAATGTTTATATATATATATATATATATATTATAATAATTTTTTATAGTATTGGAATAATTTTTGCATGTTCTTGTATTTAGAAGCATGAAGTACTATTTCGTTCTTTTGTAATTGTCCTGTAGTGATAAACTATGAGATCACGGTTGTGACGGGGGACGTCTTTGCTGGTGGCACAAATGCCAATGTTTTTATCCAAATCTACGGAGATCAAGGAAAGACGGAAGTGCTCCAAATCGCCAGCAGGTCAAACAACTATGAGAGAGGAGCAACAGACATATTCAAGGTATTGTCAATGTCTAACCATCATCATCATCACACTCACTCAGTGTCATACTGATCTGTGACGTCTGTGCAACAGATTGAGGCTAAAGATGTGGGGAAGATCTTCAAGATCCGCATTAGCAATGATGACTCGGGCGTAGGAGCCGGATGGTACCTGGACCGGGTGGAGATCAAGCGTCTGATAATGGCCATGGTCCCCAAAGAGAAGAAAGAAGATAAAAAGAAGAAGAAGAATAAGAAAAAGAAGAGCGAGGAGGATGAAGACGAGGAAGGCGGTGAGGAGGAGATGCGTGAGGTGGTCTTGACCTACTTATTCCCCTGCGATCGCTGGCTGGCTTCTGATGAGGAGGACGGAGAGATGGTGGTGGAACTTCTGCCAGAGGACAATGAGGAGCTGGAGGGTACAGACACCTACCAATGTTTGATCATGCGGTTCTGTTAACTACGTTTGACTATGTCAGTCATCACTAGACTCTAAAACACACTCAAAATAATGAAGCAACTGCAAAGCAACACTCTAAAATCATTCAGAGTAACCACATAGCAAAACTCTAAAACACTCACAATAACCTACAGTAGCAACTGCAAAGCAACACTCTAAAAACACTCAGAACAACCTAGAAACGGCATAGCAACACTCTAAAAACACTCAGAATAATCTAACAACTGCATAGCAACACTCTAAAAACACTCAGAATAATCAAGCAACTACATAGCAACACTCTAAAATCCCTTAGAACAACCTAGAAACCACATGGCAACACTCTAAACCACTTAAAATAACCTACAGTAGCAACTGCACAGCAACACTCTAAAAACACTCAGAACAACCTAGAAACGGTATAGCAACACTCCAAAAACACTCAGAACAACCTAGAAACGGTATAGCAACACTCCAAAATCACTCAGGAGAGCCTAGCAACCACATAGCAACACTCTAAAACACTCAAAATAACCTACAGTAGCAACTGCAAAGCAACACTCTAAAAACACTCAGAACAACCTAGAAACGGCATAGCAACACTCTAAAAACACTCAGAACAACCTAGAAACGGCATAGCAACACTCTAAAAACACTCAGAATAATCTAGAAACTGCATAGCAACACTCTAAAATCACTCAGAGCAACCTAGAAACGGTATAGCAACACTCTATAACACTCAGGATAGCCTAGCAACCATATAGCAACACTCTAAAAACACTCAGAACAACCTAGAAACGGTATAGCAACACTCTAAAATCACTCAGAACAACCTAGAAACGGTATAGCAACACTCTAAAATCACTCAGAACAACCTAGAAACGGTATAGCAACACTCTAAAATCACTCAGAACAACCTAGAAACGGTATAGCAACACTCTAAAAACACTAAGAACAACCTAGCAACCACATAGCAACACTCCAAAATCCCTAGAACAACCTAGATATTGCATAGCAACACTCTATAACACTCAAAATAACCCACATAGCAACACTCTAAATCACTTAAAATAACCTACAGTAGCAACTGCACAGCAATACTCTAAAAACACTCAGAACAACCTAGAAACGGTATAGCAACACTCTAAAAACTCTCAGGATAGCCTAGCAACCATATAGCAACACTTTAAAAAATTTAGAACAACTTAGAAACGGCATAGCAACACTCTAAAAACACTCAAAATAACCCAGCAACCATATGGCAACACTCTAAATCACTTAAAATAACCTACAGTAGTAACTGTATAGCAACACTCTAAAATCCCTCAGAACAACCTAGAAACTGCATAGCAACATTCTAAAACACTCAGGATAGCCTAGCAACCATATAGCAACACTCTAAAAACACTCAGAACAACCTAGGAACTGCATAGCAACACTCTAAAAACACTCAGAACAACCTAGAAACTGCATAGCAACACTCTAAAAACACTCAGAACAACCTAGAAACGGTATAGCAACACTCTAAAATCACTCAGGAGAGCCTAGCAACCACATAGCAACACTCTAAAACACTCGGAACAAACTAGGAACTGCATAGCAACACTGTAAAAACACTCAAAACAACCTCGAAGCTGCATAGCAACACTCTAAAACACTCAAAATAACCCAGCAACCACATGGCAACATTATAAAAACACGCAGAACAACCTAGAAATGGCATAGCAACACTCTAAAAATGTTCAGAATAACCTAGAAACTGCATAGCAACACTCTAAAAACACTCAGAATAATCTAACAACTGCATAGCAACACTCTAAAAACACTCAGAATAATCAAGCAACTACATAGCAACACTCTAAAATCCCTTAGAACAACCTAGAAACCACATGGCAACACTCTAAACCACTTAAAATAACCTACAGTAGCAACTGCACAGCAACACTCTAAAAACACTCAGAACAACCTAGAAACGGTATAGCAACACTCTAAAAACACTCAGAACAACCTAGAAACGGTATAGCAACACTCCAAAATCACTCAGGAGAGCCTAGCAACCACATAGCAACACTCAGAACAACCTAGGAACTGCATAGCCACACTCTAAAAACCCTCAGAACAACCTAGCAACCACATACCAACAGGGGCGTGTCTACGTGGTGGCCAGGGGTGGCACCGGCCCCCCCTGAAATTTGGCTGGCCACCCCAGGTGCCCCCCCTACCAGATGTCTTGCCATAGGCTTGTTTTTAGTACATTTCTAATTTTAGGCGGTTTCTATAGTGTGATCTTAATGACAATGTCGAGAGCGCATAATGTTACGCGATCCATGTGCGCGAGGACGAATCTCTCCACTCCCAAGCGGATTTCCTTCACTCACACAAAACTGGACGTGTGCTTTTAACATACATCGTTCCGCAAACCACAGAGAATACCTTAGCAACCACATGCAACCAGTTTCAACACTCTAGAATTAAGGCAGTGAGTTTTACATGGGAAAACACCACTAATATTTCTTTCAGATTTAAGAATCCAGTGTGACATTAATACTGGTGTATTATAGTGCACAAATCACAGATTACAGCTGCAGTATCATTGATCAAATCATGGTAAATACTTTCTTTTTTTAATAATTCATAATCTGTTCCGCCTCAGAAAACACATATGAGGTCCACATCTTCACGGGAAACATGATGGGGGCCGGAAGTGATGCCAACGTGTTCATAAACTTCTACGGAGAGAACGGAGATACTGGAGAACGACCCTTGAGAAAGTCCAGTAATCTCAACAAATTTGAACGTGGACAGGTGAGATGAATGACCAGATGAACGTCCAGTCATCGAAGGCAGGCAATCTGACACGATCCCTCATGTTATTCACAGTAGATGTAGTCGTATAGTCTTACTCATCTGTTAATGTGAGCCGATCAATTATTTACCGCACACATCGAATATGCTCCTCTGAATCGAGGCCACCCTGACAGATCCAAGCTGACATCTTGCATGTCATTGTTTTCTTCATGCTTGTGGAAGTAGATTCATGGTTATGTGCTGCTTCAACTTACAGGAGGACACGTTCTCCATCACAGCTGTGGAACTGGGGCCTTTGAAGAAACTAAGGATCCGTCACGATAACAGCCATCAGTCAGCCTGGTACCTAGACAGGGTGGAGATCGTGGACACCAAAGATGACAACACGTGAGTTCACTCAGACTGATTCCTTAGACTCTGGCCTGACACAGATATCAGAACAATCTAGAAACCGAATAGTAACATCACAGAACAGCCCAGCAACCGCTTAGCAACACTCTAAAAGCCCACAGAACAGCCCAGAAACTGCAAAGCAACACTCTAAACCCCTTCAGAACACCCCAGCAACTGCATAGCAACACTCTAAACCCCTTCAGAACACCCCAGCAACTGCATAGCAACACTCTAAACCCCTTCAGAACACCCCAGCAACTGCATAGCAACACTCTAAACCCCTTCAGAACAACCCAGCAACTGCATAACAACACTCTAAAAGTCCACAGAACAGCCCAGAAACTGCATAGCAACACTCTAAACCCCTTCAGAACACCCCAGCAACTGCATAGCAACACTCTAAACACCTTCAGAACAACCCAGCAACTGCATAGCAACACTCTAAAAGTCCACAGAACACCCCAGCAACTGCATAGCAACACTCTAAACCCCTTCAGAACACCCCAGCAACTGCATAGCAACACTCTAAAACCCCTCAAAACAACCCAGCTACCGCATAGCAACACTCTAAAACAATCAGAATAACCCAGCAACCACATAGCAACACTATAAAACACTAAATATTACCCAGCAACCCATAGCAACACTCTAAAATACTCAGAAAAACCAAGCAACCACATAGCAACACTGTAAAATTCTCATAATTATTCAGCAACTGCATAGCTATACTCTAAAACTTTTCAGAACAACCCAGCAACCGCATAGCAACACTCTAAAATACTCAGAACAACCCAGCAACCGCATAGCAACACTCTAAAATACTCAGAATAACCCAGCAGCTACATTAAAAGACACAGATATCACTTCAGGAAAACGGATCACATGAAGATCTGCATGTGTCGATTTATTAATGAGTCTATTGTGTGGAAGCGCTTAAACACAGAAACGTAATGAACGCGTCTCACGTCTAACTCTTCATATCGGCTTACGCTCAGGTATTACTTCCCCTGTAACCGCTGGCTGGCGGTTGATGAAGATGATGCTCAGATTGCGCGAGAGCTCGTTCCTGTGGATGAGGCCTTCATGAGGAAGGACGAGGATGAGGAGGAGTCTGGGGCCACACTGGGTTTGGAGCAGAAAGGTGAACAAAACACAGTGTCAATGGCAAATAAAATTAGTTTTATGTCAAAAGCAGATCTAAAAATATATTACATAGGCTTGAATTATTAAATGTTGCTCAATATGAACTTAAAATTAAAATTTGAACAATTTTTTTACAAATTGAAAATGCATCTCAGCAAATTCTCTCGAGAATCCAATGATCTCTATACACATTAATTTTATTGCTTTGTGCTCTTGTTGAAAAGAAAATAGTTGACACAGAAGTATATACTAGATAAGTTGGGAGAACTTTGTCTAGCTGGTTTATGGGTATCTTTAATAAAATGTGAATAATCTAAAAAAAAAAAATGTTGTTTGTATGATTTGTGTTGTTATTTTTAATTAAATAATAAATCTTATTCCCCAGCGATTCACCTTGTAACTGGAACATTTTTGCTGAAATTATAATGAAATCATATCTACTTCTAATTTCAGTCTAAAGCAAACGATTGCAAATTTAATGAAATGTGATCAGTTTTGTCTGTCAGTCCAAGTACTTATTATTATTTAATTTATTTTCTTCTTATTCTTTTTGTTTTGTTTGTAGCAATGTCGACAACATACACATTGAGGATCAAGACTGGAGAAAAGAAACACGCTGGAACAGACGCCAATATCTTTGCGATTCTGTATGGAGAGAATGACGACACAGGTGAAAATACACGCAATCACCACTTTGAATAAATATAGAGCGTTCTTCACACTATCCGCTAACTATTCGCAGCTTTTCTTGGTTTCTTTCCCTCTATCCTCATGAACTGAACAGGACTCATTAACCTGAAAGCCTCTAAATCACACAAAAACAAGTTTGAGAAAGGAATGATCGATGAATTTATCGTGGAGGCCGTTGATCTCGGAGAACTCCAGAAATTGAGAATTGGCCATGACAACTCAGGTGAGCATTAAATGTGACCGAAAGCCCGTCTGAATGTGATCACACACTGAGTGACAGCTGGGTTTGAATCAGGCTTTGTTTGGACAGGATTCGCTCGACTGCCTCTAAAAGCTTCTTGCAAACAGTTAGCAACCTGTCTGGTATTAAGTTGCTTGGCAACGGTACAGAAACGCTCCAGTCACATCGCTCTTAATGGCAGCTGTTGTTCTCGAGTCATTGGGAATAAATCACAAATAAACCTCTTACATTCCTGGACAGCAGTGATTGAATTGAGATCAAACTTTGCTTATGTTTCTCCCAGATCTCAATCTGGAGTTTCAGAAAAGATCTCAGTATTATCTGAAACTGTGCTCAGATACGCTATATTGCCAAAAGTATTGGAACCCCCCCCCTTTCTAATGAACAGGTTTGACCACTTAAGTAATTTCCATGAGTACAAATCTTAATGTTAAAGCATATAATGATATTCTAGGGAATTGTGTGCTTCTAATTTTATCCACCTTATTCTTCAACACGGAAGTAGGCCGTTTTCTGTGAATGTGCAAGATTTCCGGTTCATTAGCTGCCGTAGGGAAATAACGAGAAGAATAACAAAGTGCAGTAAACGGTAAAACTGTTTGCACTACAAGCCAGTTTGTTCATAATTAAAGGGTTAGTTCACCCAAAAATGAAAATTCTGTCATTAATTACTCACCCTCATGTCGTTTCAAACCCGTAAGACCTTCGTTCATCTTCGGAACACATATTAAGATATTTTTGATGGAATCTGAGAGCTGTCTGACCCTGCATAGACAGCAATGCAACTGAAAGGTTCCCAAGTCCAGAAACGTAGCAAGGAGATCGGTAAAATAATCCATGTGACATCAGGGGTTCAACCGTAATTATACGAAGCTACGAGAATACTTTTTGTACGCAAAAGAAAAAAAACGACTTTATTCAACAATTCCATTTTGGAGAATATCCGCTGGAAGTAAACAGCGTATGCTGTTCTGTGTCAGCTGCTCACGCCGGATCTGTTTCCTACGTTGTTGTGATTTGATCTGAACGGAAACAGCGTATCCGGCTCTGGACTTGGGAACATTTCAGTTGTGTTGCTGTCATTTTTGGGTGAACTAACCCTTTAAGATAATACATTAAAATAATATGGTAAGACACACCAATTTGCGATATCAAGCAGCAAAAAGCTGTTTTGCACAGCTAAAAATAGCTGGATGCAGATGGGACCCATTACATTTACAAATGGCCATGACCACTCTTAACGGGAAAAATAAGGTGGATAGCAACAGTTTGGACAGGACCCTTTTCTATTCTAACATGACGATGCCTCTGTGTATAAGGCAAGGATCAAAAATAAATGATTGATTGAGTCAGTGTGGAAGAACTTGACTAGTCTGGTGTGACTTTAAATGCAGTCCTTGAGCCAAAAACTCATCAGCAAACACCAATGACTTGTACATATAGTATATGGACAAAAGTATTGGGACACCCCGAACAGAAAAAGGCACTTCCAAAACTGTGGTAACAAAGATAAATTCATGCATTTAAATATTGTATTTCCATCTCTGTTGCAACAGTTTTGGAAGTGTCTAAAATGACTGCACCCATATGTACAAGTCACTGGTGTTTGCTGATGAGTTTTTGGCTCTAGGTCTGCATTTAAAGTCACACCAGACTAGTCAAGTTCCACACTGACTCAATCAATCATTTCTTTTGATCCTTGCCTTATACACAGAGGCATCGTCATGTTAGAATAGAAAAGGGTCCTGTCCAAACTGTTGCTATAAAATTAAAAGCACACAATTCCCTAGAATATCATTATATGCTTAAACATTAGGATGTGTACTCATGGAAAGTACTAAAGTAGTCAAACCTGTTCATTAGAAAGGGGGGGTTCCAATACTTTTGGCAATATAGCGTATCTGAGCACAGTTTCAGATAATACTGAGATCTTTTCTGAAACTCCAGATTGAGATCTGGGAGAAACATAAGCAAAGTTTGATCTCAATTCAATCACTGCTGTCCAGGAATGTAAGAGGTTTATTTGTGATTTATTCCCAATGACTGGAGAACAACAGCTGCCATTAAGAGCGATGTGACTGGAGCGTTTCTGTCCAAACTGTTGCTATAAAATTAAAAGCACACAATTCCCTAGAATATCATTATATGCTTAAACATTAGGATTTGTACTCATGGAAAGTACTAAAGTAGTCAAACCTGTTCATTAGAAAGGTGGGGTTCCAATACTTTTGGCAATATAGTGTATATCTAGATGACAGTCAGAGTTTGCAGTCTCAATGAGAACTCAAGTGCTCTCCTCTGAACGTTAAAGCGTTATACTCTTACTACAACACAGCTATTGGCTCATTTGGGTTTGTTTTTATTTCTCCTAAGTAATTTTAAGAGAAACATCTGTAAGAAAGCTCTTCATTCCCGAGAGCTTGAGCCATAAAAGAGCAACATCTGAGCAATAAAATAGACATCTTGGATAGTTTCCTCTCTAGCTGGACTGTAGCTTTACTCGCCTGTATTAGCAGGAGCATTAATGGAGATGATTGGGTCTGTGTTTTGCAGGAGGGTCGGCTGGATGGTTCCTGGACTGGGTGGAGATCAATGCTCCTTCTCAAGGACAGAGGCTTCGTTTCCCATGTGGCCGCTGGCTGGACACAGGAGAAGACGATGGAGTTGTTGTCAGAGATCTGTATCCAGCGGAGCTACAGACTGAACTTTACACGCCATGTAAGAGACTGTGAACCGCTTTGTTTACAGCCAAAGGACATGCAGTGAATTAAAAAGAGATTATTTGCTTTCATTGAACACTCTTTGGCATTTTTCTTACAAAACAGTAATAGATTGTATCCCAAAAAAAGGCAAAGTTCTGATTTTCTTATTCGTTTTTTTTTTTGTCTTGTCTTGTACAAATATCTAAACATTCTTAAATCAAGATACATTTACGTCCGTAGCAAAATGACTTAAAATATTAAGTCTTTCAATTATATTAAATGAAAAAAAAATTTTTTTTCAAGATATTCAATTAAATTTTTTTTTTATCAAAATTAAGCAAATTTATGCTTAAAAGAATAAGTGGAATAACTGCCAGTGGGTTCAGAAAAATAAACTTAATTCAAAGGAAAAAACAAGAATTTTTATGACACCATTGGCAGATTTTTTTTTCTTGTTTTAAACATAGATTCACTTAAATGAGAGAAATAAGAAAATCATTTTTGCAGTGTATTTTAACAGTAGAAGTTTAATGTGAAAACATCTTTGTTTGGATCAGTGTTGTTTTAGTATTTATTTTAGTAGTTTTTATTTGCTGTTTTCATTTTAATTTTAGTCATTTTATCAGTTAGTGCATTTTTTAAATTTCTTTTCGTTTTCCTGTGCATTTTCGTCATTTTTATTTTTATTTTTTTTAAATATGTTTCTATATTTCTATTTTATATCTTAATATATTTAGCAAATTATTTTGGTTTTATTTATCTTAATACATCAAGTTAAACTAAATGAAAATGTGAAATGTTGCCTTGGCATCTAGCTGAAATAAAATACGTTTATTTTTATAGTTTTAGTTAACTGTAATAATAACCCTGGTCTGGAGTGCAGCATGACATCACAGATGAAGAAACTGCTCTTAAGTTCTCACATTTAGCTTTATATGAATATAAAACAGCCAGAGAGGTTTGTGTGCGTGTGCTTTATCTTTGGGTGAACGATCCCTGTAAATAGATTTGAGTAATTGTTTGTGTCTTTCTCCTGTAGTCGTTCCCTATGAGATCACCACCTGCACGAGTGACGTGTTCGCTGCGGGGACGGACGCGGATGTTTTCATCGTTCTGTACGGTCAGAAGGGTCTGTGTACGCAGCAGAAGTACCTGTGTGTGAACAAGAGAGAACGACGCATGTACTTCGAGAGATCAGCAGAAGACATGTTCATTGTAGAGGTGAGCATCAGTCGGTCGTCGTTATACAGCGCAGATGCGCTCTCTGTCAGTCAACGCTGTGCTTTCATTTCTCTGCCAAGCTGGAAGACATAGGGGATGTCATAGAGAAGATCCGCATCGGACACGATAACCAAGGGACGAACCCCGGCTGGCATCTGGACAGAGTGGAAATCAGAAGACTTTTGAGGAAAGGAAAGGTAACAGCGTTCAGATAATATGTGACCCTGGACTAGGCTTGCCGTGATAGACGGTGCTGATGGTGATACCGGTGTTAAGCCGCAACACCGGTTACGTCACTTGCCCACCGCGGCACCGACCCCCACCGTCGTTTTGATTTTTTATAGTAATAAAAATAATTTAGTTCAGTAAAAGAACAGACACTACAATTAACCAAATATTGTCCTATCCTAACAAACCATACAGCAATGCAAAGCGTTTTCATTCAGTTTTCACATGATGTATAAATCTCAATTTCAAAAAATTGACCCTTATGACTGGTTTTGTGATCCAGGGGTCACATATCAATTTAACTATAAAAATGAACATGAAAACCAGATTAACAATTTCATTATAGAAAACTATACGCAAAATATATGCCAAAATATTTCAGGGACAATGCATTGTCACACTGAAAATGAAAATTAAATGATTTCATTTTATTTTCAATTTTGGCACATATTTTGTGTATAGTGTTCTATAATGAAATTGTTAATCTGGTTTTCATTTTTATAATTAAATTGATTTATTTAAAATTGGCAGATAATGCCTTCCATAACCATATACCAAATATAAAGCTGAAAATAATGCTGTATGAACCATTTATGTTAAGCATGGTCTGTTATTCTACTGAGAGGTTTGGAAATTCGAGTCTGGAAAAGTATGGAACTTTGAAAATGGAAAACGTGTAGGAACCCTGAGTGAACCGAATGTTCTCCAGGGTTCGGAGACGACCATCTTCCCCTGTGAACGCTGGCTGGCCAAGTCTGAGGATGACGGCGAGACGGTGAGAGAGGTGGTGTCTTCTGAGATCATCACGGAGAAGCTGCTGAGAGACGGGACGCTCAAACACAACGAGGTCGAGGTGGAGGATGCTCTGGAGAGTACGTGACTGTCGTACTGTACAGTATTAGGATTTCAGTCCATTTATTTATTTATAAAGCACAAATAGACACAAATATCCAGCTTTTTCCTATGCCCCATGATGCTATAGGAATAACTTCTGTGAACAATCAGCAAAAGATTCCATCATTTTGACAGATAACAAATATTGCTTTAGAAGGGCTGGGTTTTAACACAAATTTCACAATTTGATTCGATTATGCTTCACAAGCTTGCGATTCGATTCCGATTCGATTAAATTCAAACTCGATTATTACATCATGTATAGTACATGGCTAATTTTCTCAAGGAAAAAAAATCTCTCAACTAATGCTGTAATGTAATGTAGTCATTTGGTGCTACATTAATATTGAAGCTTAAAATTGTTTTAAAAAAATATAAATAAATATTATATTATTAATATTATGTAAATAGAAAACAGTAGTGCTGTCAAACGATTAATCGCATTCAAAATAAAAGGTTTTGTTTACATAATATATGTGTGGGTGTACTGTGTATATTTATTATGTTTATATAAATACAAACACATAGAGTATATATTTTGAAAATATTTACATGTATATATTTATATTCATATAATTTCTATTATATATAAATATATTTAATATACAAACAACTGAAATATATACATGCATGTGTGTGTATTTATATATAAATAATAAATATACACAGTACACACATATATATTATGTAAACAAAAACGCAATTAATCGTTTGACAGCACTAAAAAATATATTTGTTCAAACATAAATCAAATATTGAAGAGCAGCCAAAAAAATCATAATGAATATGCTGTATGGTGCATACATTTAGCAAAATTATCCTCTCTAGAGTTAATTTCTCTTGCTGACTAACGAGTTTATGATCACAGAATATGTTTTTTCTGAGGTAATTTAATTGTGACGTTACTTGACATTGTTTACAAGCTGTTATATTGACGTCTTTGCGCGGTTGAAACACTGATTGAGCGATTACATGAGACAGGATACGGATTTCGGTAAGTTGTACTCGTTCTTTTAACATACCTTCGGATGTTCATTCATGTTTATTTTGTGCTATAACTTGTATTAAAGCGGAGGAGACATTTAGTCACTCCGCATTAAACGGCATTTATTATTTGAATATTGCAATAAAACGGACAGAATTTGAAATCTCAGACTTTGGTTCATATCAAAAGTAACAAAGCACAAAGCGTATTGCGATTTATTGAATGGGAGGCGCTGTACAATATTCTGTTTATTAACTGAAAACAGGCTAGACTAATTGATTCTTGGGATTTAAGAATTGATATCATCTCATAAAAATGAGAATCGATTAAAATCGAGAAATCAATATTTTTTTTTACCCAGCCCTAGTAAACACTGCAAGTAGGTATTAGAAGTGAAAGAAAATTAGTATGTGTGTAAAAACAAACCTGGAATGAGACGTGAGGATTTGAGGAAAAACGAGAGATGCGTAGTGCATTCAGTGAATTATTAATGGGATATATCGTAAATTAAATGATATATCTTTTTTTGTTTGTTTTTTTTTGCTTTAATTTATTTTTATTTCAGGTTTAGTTGTCAGTTTATTTAAATTTTAGTACTTCAGTATTTTAATATTCAACATTTTTAATTAATTTAATATTATTTTAAGTACTTCACTACTTATTTTATTTCAGTTCGTCGCCAATGCAACATTTCCAATTTTCATCATTTTTAAATTTACATTTTTCATCTTACATTTAGTCATTTAGCAGATGCTTTTATACAAAGCGACTTACAAATGATGACAATAGAAGCAATCAAAACCAAAATCTTATATTTATATTTTATTTCTGCTTAATTTCACTTGACAAAAACAATTTTTAATAGGTTTCAAATACAATTAATATTCAGTTATATTATCAAGTTAATGCACTAACACTAATGGATGAGAACAAAACATGAACTGAGTAATGACTGTATTGTCTTCTGTAGAGCTATTTTACAGCTGAATTGAATTTGTTTCATAATTTATGAATTTCGCAACAATAACACTGTTATTTTTTTCTGTTTCTTACTGTGACAGTGCTTTATAATAAATGTGAAGAATAGTTTTAGTTAACAGTAACAACACTGACTCAAATAAACACATTTCAGCTGAAAATGCATGTTAGAATTCATGTTGTGGTTTGTTTTCCTTTATATCAGAATATTCTTGAAAGGTTACAGTGGTGCATCACACTTGTTGTCGATCATTAACACACATGCTGATGTTTCTGCAGCTCACACGTATAAGGTGTCGGTGAGGACGGGGGACATGCACGGAGCCGGCACCGATGCCAATGTGTTCCTGACCATCTACGGAGATCTGGGAGACACCGGAGAACGCAAGCTCAGCAAATCTGAGAGCAACGGCAACAAGTTTGAGAGAGGAGCCGTAAGCACCATATACTCATAGTTATTGTTATATCTTTCTTGAAAGACATTTCCTTGCCAAAGCAAATATGCCAGCTATAGAGGATGATGTAAAACCATCTAGAACAGCAGTTCGCAACCTTTTTGACTCCAAGGTCCAATATTAGTCACAATAATATGAATATTATTCATGTTCTTCAGGGATACTGCTCTTATTAATTAACCAAGGAATTTACTAGACATTTTTAACAGTATTATTTATCTTATTATTTTATATTTTAGAGCTTGGAATAACTAGAAAAATGCATGTTCATTATAAAAATGCCCATGAAGTTATATGAGTTTATGAATTTCACTAACTTATAGGTCAAGAAATCTTTGGCTTTTTCAAATATCCAGAATCCTCAAAAAAAAAAAAAATTTTAAATAAAAAATAAAATACATTTTGTTGAGAGGGTGAATTAAAATAAGAATTATGTTGATTATTTTAATGTGATTTTGTCTTTTTTATATAATTTTAAGTCATCTTAACACCCCTTGGTTAAGAGTCTCTGATGTAGAAACAGGTTGCACAAACGCAGCTTATTTCTAGATTTGATGAATAATACAATAATTTTGTTATTTTAGTATCAGTGAGTATCTATTATACTTTTTAGTAATATTTAGATTTTTATTTTTACTTTTTATATTTTGTTTTAATATTTTAAATTTTTATTTTTTCATGTATTTTATTTTTTATATTTTAATTTAAAGTGTTATTATTTTTTGTTTTGTTGCATCAAGTTACATTACATCAAGTACTATGAAAATGAAATGAAAAATTGTTAATTTTATTTCAAGTGACAAAATTTTCTAAATTATAATATCTTGTCTTCTTATCATTTTTATTGTCATTAACAAAGTGCTAATTGATGCAAAAGCCCAAACCTAGTAATTACCTATTAATAACCCTGATAATACCCTTTTTATCTGAATTAGCAGAAGGAAAGTCAGTTTATTGTATAGTGGTTTCAATTTAAAATTAAAAGGCACACATTTTTACATTTTTAAAATAGCTTCAGAACAGTTTTATAGCTATTAGAGCTGTGACAATGAAAACACATTTATGTAGAAGAAGGAGATATTATCATCCATAAAGTCTATCAGACGCTCCACTAACCATCAGACCTCATTTAGAGGAAAAACAAAGCAGGGCATCATCAGCACAACAATGAAAGCAGCAACGTTAGCCAGCTCCAAATCAGCATTTCAGGATTCACAGCAGCTGTTTGTGTGCAGGTTGACAAGTTCAGCATTGAAGCCGTGGATCTGGGTCAGGTCTATAAGATCAGAATCCAGCATGATAATTCTCTGGCTGGAGCTGACTGGTATCTGGATCAGGTGGAGGTGGTGGATGTGGAGACAGAAGAGGTTTACATGTTTCTGTGTGAACGCTGGCTCTCCATTAAGAAAGAGGACAAGCGCATCGAGAGGACCTTCTTTGTCAAGGTGATGGAAATCTCATTCATAAAAACTAGGGCTGTCGATTTAACTTGTCAATTAATTATGGAATAAATAAAGTGTTAAAATGCATTTAACACAGCGTCCCATCCAGTTTCTGATGAACATGATGCAGCGTGATGGAGCCTATTAGAATGCAGTTATATGAATCTAAAATTCAAGAAATGAGTGCAAAATATCACCCTCTAATATGTGACCCTGGAGCACAAAAGCAGTGTTAAGTCGCTGGGGTATATTTGTAGCAATAGCCAACAATACATTGTATTTGTCAAAATTATCAATTTTTCTTTAATGCCAAAAATCATTAGTGGCCCTTATGACTGGTTTTGTGCTCCAGGGTCACAAATAAATACATTTTAATTAAATTGCATTATTTAAAAATACAATTGTAGCTCTAGAGTGTTACCTATGGCTACGGTTTTATTAATGCAGTTGTCTGATTGATTTTATAGACTCAAGCATTCAGAAATCACGCAAAAGAAAATTAAGCAGTTTTACTACGATAAAACCATGGTTCATTTTTGTAAGGGTTGTGATGTCCACATGTTTTTGTTGAAGAAATTATAGAAGCTGTTGCATTTCTATTCTACCAGGCCTTCGGCGCCCTTTACAGGCATTTGTAATAATATGTAATGTACATAAATTGTTTTTTTTTGTATTACATTATGCATTTTAGCAGTGTTATTCAACGAAACCATATAATTGTTAATTAACCAATCATTATTGCCTCATAGTTTTTATATAATGCATTTTAAGTCATTTTAAAGGATGTTGTTGGCTTAGGTCTGTTTAAAATATTATCTTAATACGTCTTTGTAAACTATTATTTGAAGTAACAAAACCATGGTTAATTCATGGTTACCGTAAACCATGAATTCATTGGTTTTATTCGTAGTAAAACCATGGCTAATTTTCGTAAGGGAACATGGAAACTCAGAGAGAATATTAGATGCGTTGTTGGTGGTTAAATTATTACTGACATTAAAACACGTTATTAACATCAACAGCCAAAAAAGTTTCACAGGATTATGAAATGTACCTGAAAGTGATGCACAGGCTTCATCTTCTTTTTCTCTGTGCCGGATTGCTGATGTCTTTTCACACGTTTAGTTGTCCATCAATTATGATCATTTGCATTCAGCCACAAACATGAGGTGCGCTTTTGAACGAATCGAATGAGCCAAATATTCAGTGATTCATTCGTAAAGACAGGCATTTCTTTTATTTCTGAATGAATCACGAATGTTTAACGAATGAATGAATGTATTTTAAACTCATTAAGACATTTAGACCTACTGCTGGTTTTAGATTTATATTTAGAATATCATTAAATTTAAAAAACAAAAATCAATATTAAATGTTGAATCAAAATATTTCTTTCTAAATCTAATTTTCTGTAGTGTCTATTCAATGTTTTCTTATTTAACACAATAATGACTTTAAATTATTTTTTGAGGGTCATTTCTCAGCACAAATTGATTTGCGATGAAGTAATTGGCACTTCATGTAATTAATTAGATTAAAATGTTTAATTATCCCTAATAGAAACTTAATGAAATCGTGTCGATGTCGTGTTTTTCTGTTAGGGATACGAGGGTGAGAGGAACCCTCAGAACGCAAAGAAGAACATGCAGAACTCTAAAGCAGGTCTTGACAGCAACATGAACAAGAAGAAGAAGAAGAAAAAGGCTGTTATTATGGAGGAGGGTCCGAGTAAGATGATGCTTTATTCCAGTGATTCATTCTGAAGTCTCAGACAGACAGAAATGGGTCGTTTAATGCTCAGCATCTGTGTTTTGGCAGTGATCCCGTACCACTTCACAGTGTCCACCGGAGATGGTCATGACGCCAGCACCACCAGTCGGGTTTACGTTATCATCATAGGGCCCAACGATTTAGAAACGGAGCGACTCTGGCTGGATCTCACTGACGGGAAGACATGCTTCGCTGCGGGAGGAATGGAGCACTTCATGTGTTATGGACTAGACGTGGGTGAGATCAAGAGAGTTGAGGTGAGACTCTCGTGTTGTTTGTTTTAAACACATCAAACAGAGGAGTGAACATTTACACTATTGTTCAACTTTTTAATGTTTTTGAAAGAAGTCTCTTCTGCTCAGCAAGGCTGCATTTATTTGATTAAAAATGCAGTTAAAATTGTGAAATATTATTAGAATTTAAAATAGTTGTTTTCTATGTGAATATCTGTTAAACTGTAATTTATTTCTGTGATCAAAGCTGTATTTTCAGCATCATTACTCCAGTCTTCAGTGTCACATGATCTTCAGAAATCATTCTAATATGCTGATTTGCTGCTCAAGAAACATTTCTGATTATTATCAGTGTTGAAAACAGTTGTGCTG